ATAAAGGCTCTGGGACACCAGAGCATCAGTTATCTACCAAACCCCCGCGTTAACAGTTGGTGACCCTAAGTGTGTTTTTGAACAGTGTAAATTTTTTTTAAAGTTTGACCGTATAAGAGTATTGGTAAGTATTAATATATACATACATATATACTTTTAGTTTTTTACCTATATAGTTTCTTGTGTGCATTAAAAGCTTAATAAAAAAAAGTAAAAGCAATGGATTCCGCGCTTAACGAAAATCAAACCATTGCAAGCAGAATCTCTGCTCTATATCAGGAAATAAAAAATTTTAGGGGACAAAATATTGAAGAGGGACAGATCCAATATTGGAGGGGTGTAGTAACCGATCTGTCTAGGCAATTTGAGGAGAACGAGTGTATCCTCAAAGAGGCCTCTTCAACCCTAAAAAGAAACCCTTATTTTAAAGAAAATCATGCAGATCAAATTAGAGGATTTTTCAATAATACCTCAACTCTGATTTTGATCATGGAAATGGAAGCTAAAGCACTAAAAGATAGTTTGCAAGCAGCGGGAGTGATAGACTCACGACCAGCACCTCAGCCACCTACATCTAGTCACACATTAGGTTCAATCGCTACAGCTTCCTTGATTTCAACATCAGAACGGCAATTAAAGTTCGTGCTAGAAGATCTTAGCAAGACTATTGACAAATTTTTGGGAAATAAGATTCCAAAAGTCTTCCTTCTGGAAAGTGCCAAAGAAGCTAAAATGATGTATCGCAATTACTTAGGAGAATGTGACGAGAATAGTTTAGAAGATTTATTTCAAAACGTAAGTTTTAAACTAGATGAGGCTTTGGACTTCGCTCCTGAAGATAAAAAACCGCAGAATGAAAATCTGCCCTACACACTGCCAAAAATAGATATTCCGGTAATCTCTGGAGACTATATTCAGTAGAACACGTTTAGAGAATTGTTTTCCCAATTAATAGGTTCAGCCAGTATCTCGGATACACAGAAAATGATTTGTTTGAAATCAAAGCTAAGAGGGGAAGCGGCAATGACGATCGCGAACCTACCAGCAAATGCAGAAAACTATCCAATTGCTTGGAACCTCTTGGATAATAAATATACCAACTTGAGAGCGCAAACTGCCATTCATTTTTCGAACATAATGGGGGCACCCTATACGACTGAAAATCTAGAAAGTGTAAAACGATTGAAAGAAGTGATTGAGGAAAATTTGCAAGCTCTAAAAGCAACAAAATTGAGTTCTGANGATTGAGGAAAGTTTGCAAGCTCTAAAAGCAACAAAATTAAGTTCTGAAAGTATACTGCAAGGCCTTTTAAGTTTCATTTTAGTACGAAAAATTAGTAATGATTTAAGATTGAAGTATGAAACTTCACTTCAGAACTCACGAGAAATACCCATTGTTGACTCATTGGCGAAATTTTTAAATCATGAGTTTTATGCACTGCAAGCAGCACAAAAATCATCAAAAAAGGATGGGTCATCCAAATGGGATGACCATATTAAAGAATTGGCAAACAGAAAGGAAATCGAATGCATCATGGGATGTAATAATCCGCATTTCCTTTTTCAATGCACAAAATTTAAAGACCTTACCATTAAAGAAAAATGGGAAAAGGTTAAAAAAAAAATCATTCTTGTGCTCGAAATGTTTAAAGAGTGGACATTCGAGTAAAAATTGCAATGGGTATAATTGTCGTATATGTAATGAAGGTCATAGCACATTCTTACACAAAGTTAGTAACGAAAAAGGTGCAGTGACAAAAAGTACCATTAAGCAAGGATGCGAAAATTCAGAAAAATGCATTTTGTTAGCTACAGCGGTTGTTTATATCCAAGTTGCAAAAGGCAAATGGATCAAAGGCAGAGCGCTCCTTGATAGCGGCTCTCAAGTAAATTTGATGTCAAAATCGTTCCTAAAGAAATTAAGACTTAAGAGCGAAGCAATTAAATCAGCAGCGATAGAAGGTGTTGGCAAAACATGTTCAAAAATTGAAGAAAGGGTAAATATAAAAATTAAGTCCAGAATGCATAGGAATAATTTCGAAACAAATCTGGAGGTACTAATAGCGCAGGAATTAATGTCCAAATTGCCGGCAGAAGAAGCCATTATTAAAGAGATTCCAAATAACACTTAATTAGCTGATCCAAATTTTAATGTTCCTAAGGAAGTGGACATATTAATAGGTTACGAATTAACCTATGGGGATCTGTTTGAAGGAGAAAAAATTCCATTGAATGAAAATAATTTAATAGCCCACAAAACCAAGTTGGGTTGGGTTATTACAGGAGCTGCGATGATTAATAGAGCCCCAGACATTTGCAGTTTGGCCTCATTTTCCGAGCCCACAATAGAAAACCAAATAAAAAAGTTTTGGGAAATTGAGGAAGATATGAAAAAAGACAAAAAATTTTCAAAAGAGGAGGAAGACTGTCAAATTATTTTTACCAAAACCACAACCAGAAAAGTGGATGGGAAGTTCGGAGTAAACCTCCGCTTTAAAAGAGACATTGAACAATTAGGAAATTCAGAGATTACTGCTAATCGAGGGTTCTTAGCTATGGAAAAGAAATTGGAGAAAAACTGGGAAGTAAAGTCACAGTACCATGAATTTATGAAGGAGTATATAAAATTAAACCAAATGGAGGCTCTAGCCACTCCAAACCAACTTCAGTTCAAATTTTATTTACCAGTGAAGCCAGATAGCACTTCTACAAAATTGAGAGTAGTTTTTGATACATCTGCAGAAACTACTACATACGGGGCCAAGGCTACAAGATGATTTATTTGATATTCTGATGCGTTTCAGAAAACACAAATTTGTAATATCAGCAGACATTGAGAAAATGCTCAGACAAATTTGGGTAAACGAATAACATCAAAATTTCCAACTAATTTACTGGAGGTGGAAACCATTTCACAGTGGTCAATAAATGGGATTTAATGTTCATCATTCACTGGAGCCTTCATTTCTCAACCGATTTGATTAATTATTTTTTAAATGAAAGCTAATAAAATTTGCAAGAGACTAGTTGAGCCCAATTTTAGAATTTTTATTTGTTTGTATTAAATTTTTTAGTGCAAAGTGCAGAAATTGCGCCAATTTTGAAGAAGACCAGTTCTCCTGTTCCAGCTAATAAAAGTTTCATAATAAAAAGTAACAGTGCGAGTGCACCTTACTTAGCAGTAAAATGTCTACAAACAGCAGCAGAAGATAATAAAGATAAATTTCCAACAGCTTCACAATGCATTCAGTCGGACTTTTATATGGACGATTTGATGACAGGTTGTGATAATCTAACTGAGCTAAAAAATATGCAGCAACAAATAATTCATATACTAAATTCATATGGATTCAAATTGAGAAAATGGTGTGCTAATCATCCTAGTTTGTTGAACGAAATTCCTAGCGAAGATCGAGAAATTAAATTAGATATAACATCTAATAAAGCTGAGAATATAAAAGCCCTAGGAATCGCTTGGAATCCAGCTAAAGATGACATCTCAATAAAATCTTATTTAGAAACTGACTACAAAATTACAAACCGCCAAATACTTTCTAATATTGCGAAACTATTTGATCCTTTAGGTCTTTTGAGTCCAGTTATAGTGGTGGCAAAATTGATACTACAACAAACATGGAAAGAAAAAATCGACTGGGATCAAGCCGTTACAGGAGAAACCATGCGATCCTGGGTACATTTAAGAAATCAAATGAAATTATTAAATGAAATAAATCTTCCCAGATACGCATTATTACCTGATGCAAAAGAAATCGAATTACACGGATACTCAGATGCATCCGTGAGAGCCTATGGCGCTGTGGTGTATGTAAAATCAGTAGACAAATCGGGAAATATTAAAATAAATCTATTAGCTTCCAAATCGAAAGTAGCCCCATTCAAAATTCAGACGTTACCTCGATTAGAACTATGTGCTGCGGTACTGTTAGTAAAATTAATGGAAAAAGTATCAAAAGCACTTAATCTAAAGGACAAGCATGTTTATTATACGGATTCAACAATCGTCCTTAGTTGGCTACAATTAGATCCTGCAAAATTGCAAATATTTGTGTCAAATAGGGTAAACTTTATTCAGGTGCACACCAAAGCGCTGCAATGGAGACATATTGACACAAAATCAAACCCAGCTGATTTAATAACAAGAGGGTTATATCCAGAAGAAATAATTAATTATAGTCTGTGGTTTAATGGACCAATGCACTTAACTAACATGGAGTCATACAGAAAAAAAATTTTCACAAAGCCTTTAACATCGCTTCCAGATATAAAGAAAACTGCTATAACAGCAGGTGTTTTGGTAAGGAATAGCTCTTTAATTGATTCAATAGACCACAGAAATAATTTTGAATTCTTTTTAAATGTGGTTTCTTCGCTTATCAAATTTAAAGATATCACATTAAAGCGTCCTAAGAAAGAACTCGTAATTCAGAATCACTTATATTATCGCAAAGAAGTTTTGAATTTCATTTTGAAATATATACAAACTAAATACTTTAACAAAGAACTAAGCCTCCTTTCAGGTAACAAAAATTTAGAACAGAGCTTGAAGCTGATAACTAAATATATCACCATTTTTGGACAAAAATGGCATCATTAAAGTTGGAGGGCGTCTACAAGAAGGCAATATTCCAGAAGAAGCAAAACATCCTGCAGTACTTCCATATGAAGACACTGTGTAGCCTTCGAGCTTTTTCGTTGGCTAATTTCGACGCAATAAATAAATAAAAACGCTCGTCGTCCAAAAACAAATACAATTTTATGTACTTTATTTGCAGAAGCAGGCGGGTTCGAATAACCCGTGCTTCACGATTAGCGATTGACAACGAACTAACTTAAAAATGATAGATGAAATTAATGAGAGCCTTTAGCAAAAGGCAATTGCAATAAATGTCATTAACTTGTATGAGTGTGTATATGTACATATGTCTGCAACTAACTACCGAATTTT